TGGCTCCTATGATGCTGCTTGGCCTGCTGTGTTCATCCAGTTCTGCACCTTGTTGTCTCCTGGCGTGGTGCCCACTCGGCTTGGTGTGGCACCCACTCGGCTTGGTGTGGCATCTTCAGTCCTGCGCAATGGTCTGAAGTGATCTACCAGCCTCGTGATCCTCAAGGTGAAGCCTGGTACAGTCTGGAGCCAGGGCCGCTGCAGATTGGAGGCTAAGTGCCACTGTGTATGGGTTAGAAGACCGCTGTTCTGAATTTTTATTTTGGCAATGCTGGACATTTTATTTCTCTATTTTCCAAGATCTTGTAACCAAAGAAGCTGTACGTTCGTACCTTTGTATTTAAGATCGCCATCTTAAGTGGCCCGTATAAACTTTTCACTGTACTCATTGAGTATATTTGGCGATAAAGCTAATTTATTCATTCATTCATTCCATTTCCAACATTTCTACACTTTTCATTATCACTTTCTGCTTATCATAAATTCCTTTGTTGCCTCTCCATTTTTCTCTCTCTTTCTCTCAGCGCTATCTCCATGTATTCTACTCACTCCCTGCTATCCACCATCATCATCAACATTAATATCCTTCCCATCTGGTTTCAGTCCTGACAAAGGGTCACTGGACTTAAAACGTTAACTCAGATTTTCTCTCTACAGATGCTGCCAGACCTGCTGAACTTCTCCAGCACATTCTGTTTTTGTTTCAGATCTCCAGTGTCTGCACATCTTTATTTTATTATGGGCAGCCTGGACTGAGTGAGAGTAAATTAGAGAAGTCGTACATTCAATCGTGAGAGTTGTGGACCATGAGTTTTGAGGGGACATGTGGGCAAAAGCAGGATGAGTGTGAGGCAGTAGAGAGAAAAACCTACCCTTGTGGAGCACAGAGGGTCATTGACTTTTTTTGTCACATTGCTGGGCATACTTGTGGTTCGTGGACACTGCATTGACCCAGGGAGCAACTTTGGATCTTCAGGATCTTGTGCCACGGTCTTCTCTGGAAATCCTGATGAAATAGAATGGCCCTCCTCTGCACCAGTAGCCTGTACTTCCACCATAGATAGCAGAAGATAGTATGGGCAGGGAATCATAGAGCCCTGGTGCATTGGCAATGAGATGAGCTGTATGGATTAGCATGGAAAAACTCACTAGAACTCATGGCCAGAAACCATCCATGAAATTCGCCAAAAATAACATTTAACTAATTACTGATAAAATTCAGCCCTATGACTTTATTTATAAAGCTCAGGATCCTGTAAGAGTTATCATTTGCTTTCTCGACCTGATTTGAGCCCATAAAATCCAGATCCCTCTGATCCTGCATTCCAGTTAGAATTGTTCCCTTTATTTTATACAGCCTTTCCTTGGTCTTCCTACCAAAAGGTATGACTTCAAATTTCATTGCCTTGAATTTTATTTGCTAAATGTCTGCCCATTCCAGTGGTATTTCTATCTCCGTTTCAAGACTATTGCTACCCTCTTCACAGTTCACAATATTTCCGTGCCTTGTGACATCTGCAAGTTTTGAAATTGTGCCCTATATATCAAAGTCTAGGTCATTTATATATATAACGTATCAACAATGTTCTGATATGGTACTGACCTTCAGGATACTCCACTGCATACTTTCCTGCAGGACGCAAAAAAAACTAATAATTAAGAAATAATGCATCTGTACCTGTCATTCAACTAAATATTTTCTGTAGTGCCTTTGATCCTTTTATTCCATGGGTTTCAAATTTAGTGGTAAAGAAGTTATGTGGCACTTTATCAAATTACTTTTGGAAGTCTCTGTAAACCTATCAACTGCATTATGTTCATCGACAGTCTCTATTATTTCATAGTAAGTCTCAACTAAATTAACTCACAGCTCCAGGAACCCATGACAGATTTTTTTGAAAGCATATGTTTGGTTTCTGGTTTGTTCCTGCAAATGGAAACACACACTGCTCTCTGGGATTGTGATGAGGCCATCTACATATTCTGGCTCATTGGTTCTATGCAAATGTGGAACCAAAAGTCTGCAATCTTCATTCTGTACATAGAATTCAGGGTTCACGTGGTTTCTAGAGTGAGTAGGAATTGGGTAATAATCCTTAATGAAATGGGAACCACTACTGATTCAATTAAAATTAAGGAAAGATTTGCACTCGTAATGTATTTTTACAACCTCACAAAGCATTTTATAAACTAACAAAGTACTTTTGAAATGTTGGCAATGTTCAAACCACAGGATAATAGGACGATAAAGGACAAAAGGTAGCCATTCAATCCATTGTAACTGAGCTGGCGTTTTGAAAGTGCTAGTGGATTAGTCCCACTCCCCTTCTCTTTTCTCATAATCCTGTAAATGCTTTTCCCTTAAATATTTATCCAACACCATTTTGAAAGATGCTATTGATTGTGCTTCCATCCCACCCTCCTTCCAGGTAATACATTCGAAATCATAATGACTCTGCATATTTTTCTCTTGGCACCTCTGGTATAGCAGCTAATTTATGCAAAGCCAGAATCCACAAATAACAATGAGTTAATGATGAACAGAAGGGATTCATGAGAATGATTCCAGGCATGAAGGAATTCAGTTGTGAAGATAGATTGGAGATTTAGGAGACTTCCTTGGAAAAGGCCGAAGGGAGATCTGATAAAATTATTCAAAATCATGAAGTGTCTGGACAGAGTAGATGGGGAGAATTTGTTCTTACTTGTGAAAGGATCAAGAAAGAGAGGGCACAGATTTGGATAGAAATGCTGCTTGGCCTGCTGTGTTCATCCAGCTCTACACCTTGTTATCTCAGATTCTCCAGCATCTGCAGTTCCTACTATCTCTGAAACAGATTTGGATAGGAAAGGTTTGGAGGGATATGGGCCAGGAGCAGGCAGATGGGACTAGTTTAGTTTGGGATTATGTTCAGCATCGACTGGTTGGACCGAAGGGTCTGTTTCCGTGCTGTGTGACTCTATTTAAGGCATTTAGTAAAAGAAGCAAAAATGATTTTAGTGAAAACTATTTCGTGTAGTGTTTTGAATAAGATCTGGAATGCACTGCCTGAAAGTATAGTGAAGAAATGTTCAATTAAAACAATGCTATTTTGAAAAGGAAGAATGTGCAGAGTTACAGGGAGAAGGCAGGTGAATGGGATTCCGTGAAATGTTCATTCAGAGAGCTGATGCCAACATGACGGGCTGAATTCTCTATGATAATAGTAAATGAACACTTTTACTAATGTTGCTTGACGGAGTAATATAGGCTAAGATAACAGGAAGAACTCATCTTCTGTTTTACAAATATGGATATTTTATTTCTTTTTAACAGGGCAAACTAGGCTTTTGTTTAATATTTATTGGAGTGTTTGCCTGAATTTTGTGGTCATGTCTGAACTTTCTGACACAAAAGGAAAAGAGCTACAACAGTAACAAGGCTGACACAGATTTAAACACCCCAACATCATCTCTGTCACTAAAGATCAAAAGACAGCATGAATCTTAAACCTGGAGCAGGGTTAGGCTGCAATATTGGGCCCAATTTTAATTTTGTGCAAGAAGATCAATTTTGAATCAGTTGAAATCTCATTGCAATGATTCTGCAGGAACTGTTATCACAGCCTCACTGCCAACATGCTTTACTGTGTCACTGTGGCGTAGTTGGTCGCACTTATGTTTCTGGCTATAGGTTGAGTTAAGGTCTCTAATCTCTAAGAAGGGATGGATGCGCTATCAGGATCACAGCTGTGTCTACCTTTATTCTCAAATCATAGACTTTAACTTTGCATCTTAAAACTTCCTGTCTCATGAACAATGAGACGGTCTTTAAAAGACCAGATGGTCAAATGAAATCTAATTGGCAAAACATGAGGTTTAGGACATAATCAAGACATGAGTGTAAATACTGGAGCTTGAAGATGTGATAAGCAGAGTTATCTTTAAAATTCTAAGTGGCTTTCATCCCAACTACCACTGAAGTGGAACTGAAATATGGGTCAGAACCTGGATTTTCTTGGATTCAGCACCATTCATACCAGATCCTTAGATTGCTATTTGGAGTGCCTAGGGTCGGTTTCAAGGGATGTGTTGAGGAGGGTGGTATTCCCAGGCTTTGCACGGAAATTCCTTAGTTTTCCAACTTTAAAAGGCCTTAGCATTGATAAAAAGTGAGTACGCTTGAGGCTTTCTGAAAATTCAAATCTCTACTAGAGTAATGATTGGGAACTGAACTCATATATTTCTTGTTCTGAAGAAGGGTCACTGGACCTGAAACGTTAACTCTGATTTCTCTCCACAGATGCTGAGATTTCCCAGCAATTTGTGTTTTTGTTACTGATTTCCAGCATCTGCAGCCCTTTCGTTTTTTTTAAATTATATATATTTTTGTCTTCAGCCCAGCTGAACTATCGCAAATGGCGGAAACATGACCTAAATATCCAAAGGACCTTAGACCAGAAACTGTAATAGCATCTCTGCTCTGGATCAAGAGTGGACCAATTTAAATGAGCAAAACTATGGACCAAGCTCAACCGCATAATTCCCTGAAGGACATCGGTAAAGTTTTGCCCATTATAAATGTGTCAACAAATTATAGTGAATTTTGAATAAGTCGCGTTTAGACTATGATGAACACCTTTAAGAGAATACGATAGAAAATACTTTAAAAAGTATCGAAGATGAAAAGCGTAGATTCACCAAGTTATGTCAGAAATAACTTGAAGACAGCTAACATGAACACAACGGGCCGAACAAGCTCGTTCTGAGCTGCAACTGCTCGATGAATCAATCCATAATCCACCAGGACTCTTAGATTATTAACCACGCCCACCGGTTGCTATGGGAACACTCACCTGCCAATCAATTAGTCTCCGCCCTCCAGCGGCAGAAACTCACCAATCAGCTGTGCGGGACTCACCCATCACGTGATTAGATTGGTGTCAATCATGTGGAAACCCGCGTATGGGCGGTTTCAGGTATGACACCGTCCGTTGGAATTGCCTATGAAACTAGGGAGCTGGGTCAGGAAACGGATGTTGTCAGCGTGTTCCCAGCAGGCGCTGGGCTTTGAGCGACAGCGATGGCGGCTAGAGATGGTAGGTAGCGGTTATGGCTGAATGCTGAGCTCGGCATCCCGGTCCGCTTACAGTGGGATACTGTCTTCCTAGCTATGCTACTTGGTGCTACACATGGATTCTCATATGTCGGGATCGCATTGTCACGAGACAAGTGTTGAACAGGGACTCGAGGCCCAGTGTGATCAAGATGCAATCATCTAAGAGCGAGGAGCTATCAGGAGACCAGGGTGCGAAGGATTTGTGGTGGGGTGGTGAGCTTGGAGACCAGAGTGTGAGGGATTTAGCTAGGAGGGTGTTGCTGTCAGGCACGGGGGAAAGAGGGTTGGGGAAAGGGGTGAATCAAGCCCGGGGTGGGGTTGAGCTGGAAAACGATTGAGAGGAATATTTTAGGTGGGGGTGTATTGTGTTGGACAACAAGGTGTAAAGGAGTAGTGCATGGTGGTAGTGTTGAGCTGGAGATCAGAATATGTGGTAGCAATATGCTAATATTGTGGCAACTCTGGCTGGCTTCTCCATATAACAGTCACTGTAGGCAGGATGTGGTAACAGCTGAAGTTCAGTGATGCATTGTATGGAAGGTTCAGGATGTGTTTTTTTCCAATCTCTTGAACACTTTCTAAGCAGTAATTAGGTTAGGTTCTGTTATTTTGGGTACTGTGTGTATGAATGCTTTGAGACAGTGTAGGCAACCTATACGAGCAGGTGATTTTTGAGCTTATGGTCCTCAAAACTGGGAAACTTTAAGAATTGGCTCAGAGGAATTCAGGGTTTTCCTCATCTCATCTCTACATCTGTTGATTTTAGTAATAGAGCTGCACAGCATGGAAACATTGCCTTCAGTCCAACCAGATAACCTAAATAAATCTAGTTCCACTTGTCAGCATTTGGCCCATAACCCTCTAACTGCTGTGCCCTGATGAAGTGTCCCAACCTGAAATGTTGACTCTGCCGCTCCTCTGCTGGCTGACTTGCGGTGTTCCTCCAGGTCCACACTGTAAGACTCCATCTAAACCCTTGCCATTCATATACTCATCCAAATGCCTTTTAAATGTTGTAATTGTACCAGCCTCCACCTTTTCCTCTGGCAGCTCATTCCATACGTGCATCACCCTCTGTGTGAAATAGTTACCCCTTAGGTCCCTTTTAAATCTTTCCCCCCTTGCTTTGAATCTATGCTGTCTAGTTATGGACTGTCCCACCCTAGGGAAAAAGATCTTGTCTATTTACCCAATCCATGCCCCTCATGATTTTATAAACCTCTATAAGGTCATGCCTGAGCCTCTGACGCTCCAGAGAAAATAGCCTCTTCCTATAGCTCAAACCTTACATATCTGGCAGCATCCTGGTAAATTCCTTTCTGAACCCTTTGAAGTTTCACATCATCCTTCCTATAACAAGGAGATGAGAATTGAAAGCAGTTTTCCAACAGTGGCCTCACCAATGACCTGTACAGCTGCAGCATTACCTCCCAACTCCTGTACTGAATGCACTGACCAATAAAGGCAAACATACCAAATGCTGCCTTCACTATCCTGTCTACCTGTGACTCCACTTTCAAGGAACTATGAACCTGTACTCCAAGGTCTGTTTATTCAGCAACACTCCCCAGGAGCTTACCATGATTTGCTATTGAATATTGTATTTTGCAACTGTAGACATGCTGGATTTAAAGGAATTCAAATTTTGTTTTGAGTAATTCACGTGCTTTAAGTGCAGCAACTGTCAATTAAATCAAGTTTAGGGTTTGAATTTGAGAAACAGTAGTCAATTTTGTCACTTTTATGTAAGGTTTCTTTAAGTGCATATTTTGGAACTTGTTCAGTTTACTGGTGTAATTGAAAATGAAGAATGGTTTTCTGACCTTTGGTTAAAAAGGAGAACGGGCAGAGGTTCTGAAAAATACCAGAGAATGTTGAGTTGACAGTGTTTAATGCCGGATACTCTGGAGAACAACCATTTGGAATAATCATCTTGTGTGATGGAAAAGATGAAGTAGTCTGTCTGGCCTGTCTCATACAGATAACAGCCGTTATGTCATCAACAATGCCTCTTGCCACATCAGAGAGGCACAAAAAAAAATTCCTGTGAAATAGCAGGGGATTGCAGTAACTTGTATCAAAACAGCACTTGTCCCACCTTTGCCTACTTCTATACCTTGATCCTCAAAAATGAAACTTTTTTTTTGGAAGTGTTATGTGATTCCAGACTTACTGCATATTCCATTCTGATGTCAGTGATTCAAAAGCATAACACCCTGTATTCTGATCCAATACCCTCCAATACACAAGGTTGTTCCGTAGGTAATAATAGAATTGAAGACTTGCAGGGGTACTTGTAACAATTGGATTTCTGAAAGAAAGGGTCTCTCAAACTTTTTAATTAAATGTTTGAAAGAGAGGACAGTGTTTGGGTGGATTGAAGATTTTTTCATCTTGATGTGTATAGAGTAGTCATTCCTTGTCTGAACACAACTAGGTCTTGCTGGCATGCTTTTAGAAGAAACAGAAAGGAGCAGAAGGAGAATAAGAAAGAAATATTTCTTCAAAAGTGAATTTGCTTTATATTGGGAGTTCTGCAGTGTGCCCAGAATTGCTTCCCAGATCAATGTATTAAGCTGAAATGGTACAAAACAAAAAGCTGGAAACGTTCAGCAGCCAAGACAGTATCTAACGTTTCTGGTTGATAACCCTTCAACAAAATGGATGTATATGTGATGAATTTTAAACAGTTATAGTGAAGGGAGAAGAACAAAAGAACAGCCAGATCTGCAATTGATTGGCAGGCAGGAGAGACTGTGCCCAAATGCAAGGCGCTATGGGAAGACTTTGGGGGTTTTGTTCTTGTGCCAAGAAACAAAGTAGAGTGACTAGATAAGACAATAGTGATCATGACCTAATTAGGCTTGATATAAAATTTGAAGGAGTAAGGAGGAAATTTGAAAGTAAGGAAATTCCAGAGGTGGGACTCTGGCATTGGTGGAGTAATTGAAATCTGTGTCATTGTGCAGAACTGGAGTAGTGCATAGACCTTCTGACATTGTAGGAAGAGTAAGTGAGGCACAGGTGACAGTGAAGATTAACAACAAGGATGAGAATTTTAGAACTATATAATCACTGCACTCTTTCAAATGTTGCTGTTGATCTACAGTTTTGGTTTAAACAGTTGGAATAGTTCTCACTGATCTGATGCACAGATCTCCAGCAACGCCTGACTAGAGTGTCATACAAAGTAATGAGCTGATGTCCTGAAGTGGAGTTTGGATCCATAGCCATCTCGGATGAGAGTGCTACCACCTTATAAATAAAATGAACCCCATCATTATTTGAATAAGTCGCTTCAGATGATAAATGATATTTAAGTGACTTTTATGAAGATTTTGAGTTGTGGTACATTTCTTTGAGCATAGGACTTTATTTCTGCCAGTAGTGCAAGCAAACTTGAGCAAAACTTTCCTAATTACTTTTCAAATAGTCAAAATTAATTTACAACTATGAAAAAATTAATATGTATGCAGTTTTAATGAGAGAAAATTACATTCCCACCCCACAACTACTTGTGTATAAGGAGATTCACTTAAGAATTATTTCTAGAACTAAATTAAGTTCTTATTTTGTTTAAACAGGGAAGAAAGTCTGAATGAATGTTTTCAACTTACGGAGAGCAACCGTTCTCTGCTATTTGGAAGCGATCAGAATTTTATCAATAAACGATGTCTTCTTGGTTGGTGCTGCTGGATTAGATTCACGTGTAAGCATTGCATATTAGGAGGTAGATTTATATTTGAAACCTGTCTGGAGGTAGTTGAAGGGATGTGCACGTTTTTGGGGTCTGTGATTGTTGGCTAGGGATGCACGTGGGTCAGTAGAACATGACATCTCTCTGTCTCTCTTTCCCCACCCTTTTTTTTGTTGAATTGTCTAATGGGGTCTCTTAATACTGTGTGTGAAAGATGGCACTTGGGACAATGCAAACCTAGGCAATTGTATGTACTCCAGACATGCTAAAACTGATACACAGCAAAAACAAAGATCATTGAGCAATTGTAAATCCATGTCCTTGGATGTTGGGTTGACTGTTGAAGCTCCTATATTTTACAACAAATATGTACCCTGCATTTATTTATAGAATGCTAATTAGATAAGAAGTGTTTAGCACTTTAGAAAGAGATGCTGTCTCCTTCTGTTGACGTTGAGCTCTTTCAGTTTGGTTCTCTCTCTATAGCTAGATATCTGCTACTTGTAGTGCTGAACTCTGCTAGCTGCATTGGTGGTAGGATCCTTTTTGTACCCGTAGATGTCTTGCTTTCATTTGAGTTTTTGATTGGTGACTTTTTTTATTTATTTTTTTATTTGTAAATTTTTTTTTTACAGTAAGTTGGGCGATGGAAGAGGCGTGACCTAGCCCTAGAACCAGTATTAGCCTGGCCAGCTGACTAGTATCAACCAATGATACACAAACTTTGACTTGTTATTGATTTGTTTGAGTGGTGGGGATATGTAATTCAGTTGAAAAAATCTTTTTTAAAAAAAAGAAACTTCAGGATTGACTGTGATGAATAAGCTATCAGATTAGGGCATGGATTTAATGCAGGTAACATCTTGGTCATTTTGCCTTATTTTTGTTTAATTTAACTGGTAGTTTAACAAAGAAGTAATTCACAAATAGAAGAACCCCTCTAATGCATGTTTGAAAACTACGAAGTACAAAAGTGAGGTCTTACAACATGGCCAATTGAGAGGATATAATTGGTGTGAGAGATACATGGGCAATTTTCACTGTAAATGGGTATGTAACCATTTTAAAAAAAGAGTTAAAAAGAAAATATAACAGGATTTCTGGTTGTGTGGATGTGAAATTGGAGTAAGTTTTAATATTTTCAAGATTAATTCAAATTCTGGTATTTGGATAATTAGTAACCTTAGTTTTCTTTAATTTGTAGGGGCAGATACTGGTGGAATGGAAACGGAGGCTTGCAAAGACATCACCATTCAGAAAGAGAAACCAAGCTGTGGGACAGCTGGTGAAGGAGACGCTCAAACCTTGCTGACTGAGCAAATGGAGAATGAGAATGCACTCCCTCAAACTTCAGTTAGCAATGGTGGGGAGTCAGATGCAGGGAAGGAAATGGTCGACCTGAAAATTATTTGGAACAAAAACAAATATGATTTGAGAGTTCCATTGGATAGTACAGGAGCAAGTTTGAAAGAAAAAATTCACACACTCACAGGTGTGTTTTACTGGGCCACTTTGGATCATATTAACTTTCCTGCCATGTTCTGTAGTTGAGGATGACAGATGGCTGGACAATGCCAAACCTTGGTGTACTGGGGAAAGTACTGGAGTGTTGTTTCTGCCACTAATTGCCATGAATTATATAGCATTTACAATACAGAAACAGCATTCAACTGTGCTGGTGTTTATGCTCCACACAAGCCTACTTTCATACAATTGTCTCGTTATCAGCATGTCCTTTATTCCTTTCTCCCTGGTTCCTCTCTGTTTCCCCGAAAGGAATTTATGCAATTTTTCATGGATTATGCAAATAATCATGTAATTTGAGGTCCACTTTCTCACCTTGTCTTGGTGAAGAAGTTTGTCCTGAATAGCTTATTGGATTTGAAGACCTTCCTTATCTTGAATGGAGAGAATTCCTTTCAAGTTGTAGGAAACTGATATTGCAGCATTTTGGTTTTCTGTGTAGTCCTTTCTCTCTTCCACCTGAAAAGCTACTGAGCTAGTTGGCTTTTTCAGCATTGGAAACTCTTAACCAGAAGCTTGATTGCTGCTATATAAATAATCTTGTGTATTGTTGAACAGTTGATCGTTGTGTCTCGCCCTTGTTTTAATCTGACCTAGTCCCATGGAGACATATTTTTCTCAGTAATTTAGATGTTTGGCACCAATGTACAGTACAAAATACTGACTTGTGTTAATTTGCTATATTCTCAGTCTTGTGCAGAGATTTTGAGTACCATTAAAGGAAATACAAATATTTATACTGGTGAGGTTGTTATTCTGATACTTGACTGTGCTTTACTGTGTCTCACCTTTTCCTGTACTTGCCCAGGAAATGTTGAAGGAGCATTTTGTCTTATCTAACTAGTGTTGTAGTTACTCTGGGAATATATGGTACTGTAGTGTAGAAAGAGCTTTATTCTGCTTCAAGTTCATGCTGTACCTGCTCTGAAAATATTGAATGCAGCCATAGATGGTAGCCCTGGTATATCATGCTGTACTGGTGCTGGGTGGTACCTCCCAACATTGGTCATGGCAGTCATTCTCACAAAGTTTGCCACCGCTCCCACTCTTCTGATTATACTGATTTTTGGCAAGTGATCTCTAGGTCATCTATTGGAGACATAACACTGAACAACTTGGGAGTGAGAGACCAGAGAGGATTAATTGTGTTGGTAGTTGGGGGAGAGACCAGAGAGGATTAATTGTGTTGGTAGTTGGGGGTGGAGAAGTTGAGGTATAGATTTCATACTGGTTTTCTTATTTGTATTGATCCTGACCTTTCTGATTCTCACTGGTCCTGATAGTGATGAGAATCTTATCCCAATTTTTCAAGGATTAGACTAAGATCAATACTGTCCTTCCTCTTTGCAGGTCTCACTCCTGCTATGCAGAAGGTTATGCACAAGGGTCTGCTCCAAGAAGATAAAACTTTACGCGAAATTAAAGTCACGAATGGTGCGAAGATAATGGTAATCGGATCAACAATTAATGATGTTCTAGCGGTAAACACGCCAAAGGAAGTGGTGCAACAAGAGGCCAAAGCTGAAGAGCCTAAAAAGGAACCTCTATGTAGGCAAAAGGTAAAGACCATTTTGTACAAAAAAATTCTAGTGTTGGGTAACGTGACCGGGAGGCTTTTTAGCTACTTGAATCTGCAGTAGACTGTTGAGCCCTCAAGCCCAACCGACAGCAGTGGGGGCAAGCTATTCAGCCCAGTGAGTCCATGGTCAGATCATAGCTGATCTGTAATACTATCGGTCATAGCCTATGCTCCATCCTTGACTCCCCAGTCCAACAAAATTTCACATTGGTTCACAGTATCTTGTGGGAGCAAGTGAAGCCTTATTATCTCCATGTGGTCCATGCTAGATTGCACTTATGAACGTATGATTTAGGAGCAGAAGAAAGCTGTTTGGCACCTCTAAACTCCATCATTCAATAGGATCATGGCTGATCTGGTTGTGACCTCAACACCAAGTTCTTTCCTTCTCTCTTCTTCTGCCCCCAAAAAGATAATCATTGAGTCCCTTGTTATTCAAGAATCATATCTGTCTCTGCCTTGAGTATTCGATGCTCCACCACATGTCCCTCTGGGACACAGTTATGAAGACACCTGACCCTTGGAGAGAAAAAGTTCAACTTAAATGGGAGGAACCTTTTTATTTCTAAAGTGTGTCCCTTGGTTTTAGTGTCTCCCCCACGGGAAAACATCTCTTTTAAATTGACCATTCTGCCATTGGAACAGTTTCTTTTTCTTCTATCGACTCTGCCCAGATTTCATGATTTTTGAACACCTTCTTCAAATTTCCTCTCCACCTTCTATAATGAGAACAGCCCTACATTTACTAGTCTGTCCAGATGTCTGATTCCAAGGATTCTCAAATCTTTTCTGCAAACTCTCCAATATCTTCGTCCTTCCTTGAGCATCGTGCCCAAAATTGGGCACAACACTTGTGTTGGGTCCATATCCTTGTTTTATAAAGGTGGTTGATAACTTGTTTTTGTACTCTGCCTCTAATAAGTTAAGAAACTTTTTAAAAATAAAGCTCAATGTGTCCTGCCACCTTCAAAGATTGCACATATACTGCCATTTCCTGTGGCTCCTGTGCCCTTTTCAGATGTATATACTTTCCTTAACAGTGTTGGGATTAGAAGAATGAGGATAGGTATCATTTTAGAATTCTTTATATTGAATTTCATCTGCCACATGAGATCTTGAAGTCCTATCGCCATACTCATGGTTCACTATACTTTGTAGCTTTTACCACCTGCAAATTTAGAAATTGTGCCTCATCACCTTCCTCTGGTTGGGGTGTGATTTTAGAGAAAGGAACTCACTGTAAATTAAGCTCGGCATTAAAATACTGCCCACCCTTGTGTACACTGCTTGTGAATAGATTGCTGCTTGTTTGTTTTCAGCAAAAATGCTTACACCGGTGGAAACAAGTTCCCCAAGAGACCTTTCTTATTGAAGATGTTCATTTTAAGGAGTATGGATAAACTAATAAATAAGGCATAAGCTCTGTGGCCGTGGCACATACTGCAGCTCAGAGGGAGGAAAATACCTGGAGTGAACTGCTTGAAGGAAATGCTCTTTGATAGAACTCAAGGAAGTTGTGTAGTTTGTTTTAATATTGTTTTGAGGCAGTTTGAGATGCAAATTATTGAACTTTTGGGAGTGTTAAGATGTATGTTTTCTTCATTATATATATTTATGTTCATGTAACTCACAGGAAGGGATTCAGTTGGATTTAACTGACGAGTGTTCACTTTTCACCACACTGTTGTTTGGGGGGAAGCTTTCAGACTGGCGTTTCAAGTGAGTTTGCTTCGGTGTGTCATTGACTTCCTGTGGTTTTATTGGCTGCTGTTTTTCTTCTCCTAGCAACACAGGAAAGTATTAGACAAAGGAAAACCAGAAGATGTCATGCCGTCCATTAAAGGTGTTAAGGTAAGTTGCTGCATTTGGTGTTTGCTGTGCTTTATGAAAGATTCATGGTGTTTCTACCTGTTGTCTGATCAGTAGGAGTCTGTCTTGCCTCTGAATTGGAAAGCATGGGTTCAAGACCTACTGAGTGCAAGTATCCATGCTGAGTCCTCAGTACTGAGGGAGTGTTGCCATCTTTCAGCCATAGATCTCTCCACTATGTGAAAGATCTCCTAAGATCCATTGGTGTAACCAAGATATTCCTGGTCATTGTAGGAAAGGGAGTTCCTGCTGATAACTTGTAAAATGTCTTTTGAAAATCCAGGAATATCAGACAGCTTGAGAGGGTGAAGAAAATCACTGACTGAGAAATCAGCCCATTACCATCGGCACTGATCTCTTAATAATGAAAGCTTTCAAACTGCATGCAGAGCCAAGCCCGATTTACAGTGCCTCCTCAAAAATTGCAGAGACAAATATATAGGATAAAGCTTCTTCGACACTGACAACTCCAGGACATCTCTGCAGCAGTAACACAGGGTAGTGTCCTTGGCCTAACCATCTTCAACTACTACATCAATGACATTCCCTCCATCATAACATCAGCACTGTTCATGATTCAGACTTTGAAGTATCCGTGCCAATACTCAAAAAAAATTCTAGACCATTTTAAAGCTTGGTTCGACATATGATAAGTAACATTTGTGCCACACAAATGCCAGACAGCTATAATTTTCAACAAGAGAATCTTAACTATTGCCCCTTGATATTCATTGGTATTTCACTGAATCCCCTGGGGGTTACTGTTGATCTGAAATTTAACTGGACTAACCATAAAAAGACAGTGGCTACAAGAACAGGTCAGAGGTAATGAAGCTTAGTATGTAACTTAGGAGCTAAACTTAGGAGCTCCCTGAAGCCTGTCCGCAAGGCACAGGTCAGGAGAATGATTGATTGAATGCTTCTCACTTCCCTGGGTGAGTACAGCTCTAACAACAATAAAGAGCTTGATACCATCTAGAGCAAAGCAGCCCACTTCATTGTCACCACATCTGCGAATGTTCAGACCCTCTACCACGGATGTCCTGCTGAGCAGTGTACCATCTACAAGATGCACTGCAGAATTTCACTAAGGTTCCATTTGCTTCTAAACAAATGACCATTGCCAACTAGAAGGGCAGGACAGCAGATATGAGAACACCATTTGCAACTCCACATCCAGGCTTGCAACTATCTCACTATTCCTTCTGTGTTACTGAGTCAAAATTGTAGAATTCCCTCCTTAATAGCTGTGTGGGTGTACCTACACCAAGTGGACTGTAACAGCTCAAAAGGCAGCTCACAACCATCAATTAGACATGGGCAATAAATACACTGAGTGAATTTATATAAAAAAAAAATCCATGAAGCACTCCAGGATTAGCTGTTGAATTTAACTCTACTCCCCCACTTCAAAGTAGGCTGCACTAGTGTGATAGCTTAATTTGGTGTATCTGTCTTTGTAGACGGTCTAAATTTATACCTTCCACTCTGCACTTTGGTGCAGTTTGGCTCCCGTAATGGTTGAGATTTGCAATTCTTATTTGAAGCTCTCATTCTAATATAATGAATGGGAGCAGTCTGACAGGCCACCTTATCCCTCAAAAAGGGCTGTGATACTAACTGGTGCATCCTGAACACTCCGCAGGAGCGCTTACCAAGCGTACCGTTATCTGGCATGTACAACAAGTCAAGTGGAAAAGTAAGGTTAACCTTCAAACTGGAGCAGGACCAGCTCTGGATTGGAACCAAGGGTGAGTTTTAGAGTACATGTGTTGCTTTGACTCATTGCACTCTTGTAACAAACCTTGTATGCGTAATGATACTTGCATGTTCACCCTGATCCATTCAGTCTCTGAGGAAGTGTTATAAATACTGTATGACTGTAAACTGCAGTGGAAGGTAACTGAGCAGTGTCCTTTTCTGGTGTCACCTATATTTTAAATGGACTTTCTGGCTGGTTTTTATTACTCCATCCTCAAAAATCTGCACTTGGAAAAAGAACCAGTTAGAGAGCAATTGGAAAAACGTGGGGAAGTGGAACTTATTGGATAATTGTTTGGAAGTGTTTCTTGGGAACAGCAAGCTGAATGGACTCCCTCGGTAAGACTTTGTGGGTAACTAGTGTTTTGTTTTTAACAGAGAGAACAGAAAAAATCCCTATGGGCTCTATCAAAAATGTGATCACTGAACCCATTGAAGGACATGAAGATTATCACATGATGGTGAGTACTTAGCCCAGTGCCTGGTGAATATTGGAGGGCATAGGGTTTCTGGATATTGGAGTGTGTGGGGCTATAATTAATATGTATACATATTTTTGAGGGTTGAACCTTGAGGATTTAGTGAGAATTGATATTGGATCTGGGTTAACAGCATATTTGGTTGAGTTGAGATTTTTGGAAAGTAGGAGATGGGAGACTGATCAGGACTGGACTCTGGAGGAAGAAAATTGCAGATTTTGGCATTAGGTGAGTTGAAGGAAGAAGAATAGAGTATATGATGGAATAGCAGTGGCAAAAGGTATTCTTGTGTTGGAGTATGTAGAAATCATGGAGTCCTTGAAGTTTGGTTCATGTCGGAGATTGACTTGATAAGGTAATGCATAATGTGCAGATTTCCAAATCCTCCAGCTCATCATGTTCTCACTGAACTGTTAGTACAATTACATGTGAACAACTCTCTGCCACTCTGTAACCAGCCACTGGGATTTACATGCCAGTGCAGCCTGTATGCATTGTCAGTAACTTCAATCCTTGTCTATTAATTTGTTGTTAATAACACTTACTGTAGACTGGTCATGAATCAATTGCTGTTCAATTCCCACTTTTCAAAATTAAAAAGTTACATGATTGCCACAATTAACTGAAGCTGTAACTCCCAATATCTTCTGATTGCAGCTGCATTTTGTTAAGAAGACAAGATAATCCCTATATAGTTTCCAGGAACAGAAGAAAAAGGTTAGACCTTTCCACCTGTCACCAGTAAAGTTAATTAGCCTGTAGTTTCCTGCTTTCTGCCTCCCAGCTTTCTTGAACGAAGGTATTGTTTGCCATCTTTCAACCTGCAGAAACCTTCCAGATCTAACAAATTTTGAAAGATTATAACCAATGCATCTATCTGTGCTGACACTAGGTTTAATACCTTAGGATGCAGACTGTCAAGTGCTGATTGACTTGTCAGTCTTTAGGCCGAATAATATTTCTAGAACCCTTTCGCTGGTGAAGCTTGGCCCTCAACATCACCTTTTTTTGATTTTTATCTTTTGGAAGTTTAAGTCTTCTACAGTGAAGACAGCCAAAACATTCTTGTTCATAAATCTCCTCTGTTTTTGTTGTTTTCCTTTTATCAATTCCCCAGACTTGATCTTTGGAGGACTAATACTAGCTTTAGTAACACTTTTTTAACTCCTTTTAAAACTTCAATTCTACACTGTTCCTGTATTACTAGCTAGCCTTCAAATTATACTTTGTCCTCCTTTTTACTACTTTGCTATTTAAATATTGTCTAATCTTCTGGTCTGGCCACATAATACTGTGACTTCAAGAGCAGGTCAGAGGCTAGGAATCCTGCAATGGGTATTTCACTTATGGGCTCCTTCAAAGCTTGTTCACTATCTACAACGTGCAAGTCAGGAGTATGATGGAATTATCTGTGTTGTTGGAGTTACTGTCTTCCAGGCATTCATAGAACATAGCAGGCCCTTCGGACCACAATGTTGTGCTGACCTATTATCCTAGTAAGATCAATCTACACTGCTTATCCTACATTTTACTGTCCTCCATGTGCCTAATAATCTAATGACCATGAAACTGTTGTCAATTGTCAGAAATACCAATCTGTTTCACTAGAATCCTTTCTTTTTTTAGGAAGGAATCTACTGTCCTTATCTGGCCTAGCCTATATGTGACACCCAACCTGGCAATGTGGTTGGCTCTTAACTGCCCTCTGTGCATTTGGGGTTGTGCAATAAGTTCTGGCCTAGGCATTGAGGCCCACATCCTGTGAATAAATTAAAGATAAACTGCACCTGGTTGAATGACACCATCCTACAGCAAGACATTTAGTTTGCCTATTAACCCTGGAGTCCATGTTGAGGCAAGGGCAGACGTTGTGAACACTAGCACGAGGTAGGCAACATAGCTGGCTGGACTCCCTTGATTATCCTCTCCTACATTGAATTCTTGATTAACGTCCCTGCTAGGATGGCTACCTGCACCACGGTGCCAAGATCAATTTACTCATCCACCTTCCATCCGCTGCTTTCATCAATACAGGCTCCAAGAATCCTTGCCACTCATCAAGCCTTATTCCTGCTAGTAAACTTAAATACCAAAGAAACATTACAATGCTAATGTCCTGGGCTTTCCACTTTCTCAAACAAACAAGATTCAGAATAATAATGAAATTGAATAAAATTGGGAAGCAGTGCACAAACGACACCAAGCTAAAGTTTTAAAAGTCATTAGGTTGTGCCATAGAACAAAGTGAAGTGTGGAGGAGGATGAGAAGAAGGTTTTCTCCATATTGTAAGTTTGTTTCAGTGCACAATTCGGTTATCAGGTATGTCTAAAGGTCTTTTTGGTGGGCACATGAGATATTTCAGTTGAGTGAAGTCTGAAGGAAAAGATTTTTATTTTCCATTGCCATTGGGATGTTAAACAGCTGTTTTAAAACTTGTAGTTCAGGAGAAGTTTGAGCTCTGCTGGTGACCTGGCCAACATTGCTCCCTCGACTCCACCAGAAAGAACAAAATAACTGGTTGTCCATCACATTGTCTGTGGAATTTTCCCTTTGCACATGCTGTTTTCTAGCCCAACAGTAAAACGAAGACATTTGAAATGCTTTGGTGTGAACCATGTAATTTTGTATGAATGGTCTTATTTCTGTGGCCAAGATGACTACTGTAATTTTCTTAGATACATGTCCCTACTGCAGTTCTAATCTCCATTCATTGATTTTTCTTTTTGTTTTTCTAGGCATTTCAGCTGGGTCCCACTGAAGCGTCATACTATTGGGTTTACTGGGTGCCTACACAGTATGTTGATGCAATCAAAGATACAGTTCTTGGAAAGTGGCAGTATTTTTGAATGTGCCTCCACCTCTGGCAGTGAAGGATGGACTGAAACCAAAGGACTATACAACTGATTAATTGGAACTTTCTCATACTGGATTGTAATTCTTCCTCCCCTCTCCCTTCCCAACCCTTGGAAGATGCCAACAATGATAAATAGATTTATAAAAATGTGTTGGAAGATCCTCACCAGCAGCTGGAGGTGGTATGTCCAATCAGACTTTACCTTTGAACTTCAAATTCAAAAAAAATTTCAAAGAAGGAAAACTCCAAATTATTCGAAGTTCTGTAAGAGCCACAATTACTTGCAGGTTATGCACTAGAAGCATTATTATATTTTCTGTAACATGGATAACCTCTCATACAGGGCTGAATCTCTAATAGTACAGTGGGCCTCTACTTACTTGTACTCCTTGCTGCCTGGTCCTGCTATCGTGTGTGGATCTATTATATCAACTTATAAAGCTTAATTGGAGTGTTTATTTCTATAAACAAGCTTACATTACATGTCTATTCTCAGGACACTTAACAGTCAGATGCCTTGTATTTAAATAACTTCTCTGGTTGTCTCCTTTAATGTCTCAATGGCATTCTTTTGACTTGCCTTGTTTGCAAGATCCAAGAAAAAGGGAGAGTGCAAAGAGAAAATGGTGCACAATGAATTCTGTTTGTCTACCATCTTGACTTTCTAACTGGTTTTGCTAGTTAATTGCATTAATTTTTCCAGGCACAACACTATGCAATTAAGCGGAACCCACTGTACTTCCACTAATTTCTGAGGGATTTAAAAAACCATATTTGGGTGAACCATGTAATTGTACTGTATGTGCTGAGTTTTCAACTTGTTGCCATAATGCGGTACTGATTTTTAAAGTTGCATGACCATTTCCACTTCATTGGTTTTAGTTTCCGTGTAGCATGAGGGGCAGAGGATAAGTCTCAAAGCATTTTGTCTCTGTTGGTAAGTTTCAAGATCTTTTTACCAAGTAGATAGTTTTACCTGGGACCCCAAATGGGAAGGTGATCAAGGATAAAATGATCATTATTTTTAATGCTTGATGTTGAAGGATCTTTATTGTAGTGCCATATATACCTCTTCTCTGGGTTATCCTGCCAATCAGTTCTCATTATAAAGTTGGTAGTATGCACTCAGCCAGGTCACGTATTGTCATTTGAACAAATTAAAATGATTACATGTTTTTAAATAACTTCAAAATTAAACCCGATTCTTCTTTGTGAGCAAACTTTTCAGCAATTTTGAAATGATACAGCAGCAAACAATTTTCAAGCCCATTTGGTACTTCCACTTGATGCAATATATTGGTCAGTGATAAGGGGTTGTGTAGGTTTTTGGCTTGTTTGCTGTGTAATTCTGTTTCAAGTGGTGAAAAGAGTTCCCAACTTTGCTAACCTCTCAGACTGAGAGATCTGTGCCACCCATTCACTTTCATAATCTTCCAGAAAATGCATTGTTTAGAACAATGTAGATGATCTTTGCTTTGTTTCTAACCAGTATTTTCAGCACTATCTAACCAGTGTTGCATCTGCCCTGGGAGCTTTTGATAGGACACTGCAGAAGGAGCTTTACTCTGTAACTTCACATGTGCTGTGCCTGCCTTGGAAATATTTATAAAAGTGCAGTAGAGGCTTCATTCTGTACCGTTCGCATGTACAGAATTACTGCACTTATGGCAATAAATGGCAGTTTCTAATCACTGATAATCCTTACTTGAATTCGTATAAGCCAGTGAAATGTTTTGATTTAATGGGCTTTGGATAAAGTTTTTAATAGATCAAAGGCCAGATAACTATGAAAAGGAGGTGCAATATTTAAGTGTAAATACCATCTTTCAACAAAACAGATCCTCTGTCCTGTTCTGGAATTTTCCATTTTTGGAAACTGATGCTATGGTTTAGATGATTGCAAAGGGTCATGCAGCTTTTAATACCACTTAACTTGCAGAATGCATGATTCAAGCACCCCAAGTATCTGGTGAACTGAGGGAGTTGACTTGGTTTTAGAGTTGCACTGCTTCTGATTTTAGTGCTGACCATTAGTTAGCCCAATCTTTAATTGTAAAGACTAGTCTTTATTGCCAATTAAAGTTTGTTACTTTACAGTATTAAATTTGTGTTGTCTTCTGTTGTGGGTCTAATGTGGAGTATCACCAGAATTACATAAAAACAAAATACTGTGTATACTGAAGAAACTCGACAGGTCTGGCAGCATGTGTGGAGAGAACTACCTATTTGAGTCCAGTGTTCCAAAGAATTAATTGGACTGGAAACATAAACTGTGTACTGAATGCTGCTAAACCTCTTGAATTTAACCAGCATTTTCTATCTTTAACTACGGTTAAGAACTGCTGAGATTGGATTTGCTTTGCTTTTGTCTGATTGCGTATGAATGGTGGAAACGGGCTCTCGGGACTGGCCTACGCTTGAACCTACATTAGATCGTTGCCAGTGTTTTCTATTGGGTTCTTAGTAATGTAAAGTGGTGTTTGTTTGCGCCGTCAGCATGCTCCCGGAACAGGAAGTTACTGGAAGCTGTCTCCAACATTTACAAACAAAACAGCTCCACGTGTCAGAGCTGTCACTTTCGTTTGTAAAGACCCAGCCCCTGACGCGTTCCAGTTTCCGATTCGTTGAATCCTGAGGTCCCGCCTATAGCTCAAGAAAGGTGATTGGTTACTGTCCGCAGGTTTCATGGGTTATGCTCTCCATCGCTGGCAATCACGTGGGTGCTCCACCCAATTCTGTCCGAGTTCCTGGTTTGAACCAATGAGAGGGGATTGGGTTCTGCGCGTGCCCGTCCAGGCCGGATGTGCGCGCGCCCCCGAGCTGAGTGTTGTCCGCTGGCGGTTGGAGCCGTGAAATATGGAGGGAGACCGGTCACTGACAGCGTTTCCTCGCTACCAACCCTCCTGAGTGAGTGAGCCGGCCAGGCCATGGCTGAGCCTCGGGGGCTACCAGCCTTCCTCTTGTTAGCCATACTGTTGCTGGGAGTAAGGCAGGTGAGTGAGCCCGAAAGGACGGAGACGCTTCTAATGGCCGGAAATCTCGGACCGAAGCTTGAGGTTGGCTCCAACGGCCACCCCACCTGTGTGGGGATTGGCGATGGAGGGTGGGAGGTTGGCATTTAACTTTTCGCTTTGTGTCTTTGGTGATCTTGATAATACTAGGAACCATGGGCAGAGATTTGTGTTGTATGGGATGTTAATACATCGTAATGTGCCCTGACTGATTCTTGCCTGTGTCTGCAGGTCATGAAAGCGACTGTCAGTTGTCCGTAATCGTTCAATGTTTTGGGACGAAACAAAATATCCTTTTTTTTTAGAAAGCACGACTATTACTGAAAATAGCAGATATTAACAAGACAGACAGAGATTACAAGGTTACCACATTGACCACCTGCGTTTCAGCCCTCTTTTATTTTGCGAGGGTTTTTTTTATTTGAATGTTTGAAACTTGTTTGCCCCGTTTTTTCAATTTTTTTTCGGTACAGCGAGTCGGGGAGCCTCTGCTCAGGAACTTGGTTTAAGGTGGCTACCGGAGGAGAGGGTCTGGGCTATTGGTCTGTTCAGACTCGGGCGTGTTGCATGGCAGAGGAGCAGGCTGGATGGTGCTGACATAGGTCAGTAACCAGTACTTGGCCAAGCCATCCGTAGCCTCATGACTCTTGTACTCGGCCCGAGAATGCACGGGATTGAGGTGACTCAAATTCGTGGTGGGTTTCCAGATGAACCGAACCCGTCCATCCAGAGCTTAATGTTGGCCACTGAAGCGAAACCCTGCCTTTGATCTTGCATCGCATGGTTTGATTCGTCTGTAGAAAATTAGTTTCATGCACTTTTAAAACAGCACAACGGGGCTTTCTCTGTGGACTGCTGCTGCACCTACTCCTCTTCACCACCCAGATGTGCGTTACAGCAGCAAACATGCCAGTTGGAGAAATCTCTATAAGGGAATCCTTTCAATCGGGGATCGAGGGTGGAGGCTGTTTCATGTAGGAGTCTCATACAACAGACACTTAAGTCAGTACACGGTGTGCCAGGCCACATGTAGGGGGTCATACATGCTGTACATTTTCGAAGATATGTTTATCAAAGGGACTAACAATTATAAGTTTTCCTTTGAATATTGCATGTTGTTTTGACGCCAACATGGTGATGTCGTAGGTTCTGTTTGAAGCAACAGTTGTGCTGGATTCAGATGTAGCTTTATTAGTTTTGATGATGGAAGATTTTTTTGTGGTCTGGAGAAGAGCTTTTAAAGTTTTAATTTGCATGATTTTTTGTTTGCAGCCTCTTTCAAAAGACTGCTTTTAAAATTCTTGGTTGCATTTCAGCCCCATGCTACTGACCTTCGGGCATGGTGGGGCAGGCAAATCAGAAGAACTCATGGGCTGGCCTATGTGGCCATCAACAACTCAATCACTATGGGATCTTACTGTCTGCCCGTTTTTACGTGGTTACATCTGTGCTGGAGTGTCCTTAGACAGGGAGATTACATGTTCACTTACACTGGAGCCTTTTAGGGGGTTGATGGCACTGCAGGATTTGGGTGCATTATCACCAATGATAATGACTTTTTTATGCAAGTGAGAATTTTCATTTTAAGTTGTAGTTAACTTTATACTTTTGTTTTGTTAGTGCTCCACTGGGCTATCTAAATCATTTTTGAGTAACATGTTTTGAGAGAGAACCTATAAGTGGAAGTTCTTCATATCTAAACGAGACCGACAGTCCAATGAAAAGCAAACATGCTTTTGTCACATGACTGCGGCAGGATATGCATGTAGGATAAAAATAAAAATTTGAAGATGCTGCTTTACCTCCGTACTATTGGTTGCTCTTCTGTGAATTTTTCAGCATTTATTTTGTATCTGATACAAGTTGGTTGTGGCAAACTGATAATGAACAACTGATTTTATTTTCTTCTTTTGAAATTTCTATTCGCTTGACCCTGTTGGGCTTGGGAATGAAATTATTGTATAAATATTTGACTAAAGCACTGGAGCTGGAAATGATTTAATCGCAAAATAAAACCTACAAATGTATTGCACTATTTATGATTCAAGACTTGCGGTAATTAAATTTGGAATGTTTCTGATTTATGTTGCAAACTAGTGTTTTGAAGGGACAAAAGTTTTCCTTAAACTGTCCACAATCAGTACCAATGGCCAGTAATGTGTAATACTTATTTAAATTTAAGTCTTTAAATCAAGGTAATTTTTAGTTGTTTGAGCTCTGCATTGAGTTTGACTGTTGATTGTCATGCTATTAAGTGTGCATCAGATTTACTAAAATTGTATTTGTCTGTCTTGTTTAAAATATCTTCTATGCCTCAACAATAGTGCCTCTAAACGTCATTCCTCCCCTGTCCCAGGGTTTGCACATGTATATGTTCAAAGGTATGCTTGTTGGAGGGACTGAAATTTTTTTTTTTCCTTTGAATCTTGCGCATTGATAGACACCAGCACAGTCCTGTAAATTCTATCTGAAATGCTAGTTGTGGATTTGGAATTGAATGTTGTTTTTACTGTTAGATACTTTTTAGCTTTTTTTTTGTTCCATTTTCCCCATTTCAAGCACTTCACTGTGTCTTTGAATTTCGTTATTACCATTTTTTTAAATCCTTGAACACTGTGGAATATTGAAAACACAGTTTTTAAATTAGAATTTATTATTTATAAAAGTTTGAATCTCTGAAATCAAACATGCTGAGTCACTTGCTGAGTTTGATTCATCTGCCACTTAGTCTGTAGAGGTTGCACTCATTGGAAATGTTGTTTGCATTTGTAGAAGGACATGAGGCTTGTATTGTCTCCCCATTGGTGGCGTTTGGCTGCACAGGGGCCCTGACCTGTTCTGACTGTTCCACAAGGGCCAGTTCACTGGTAGTTCAAGGATTGTCATTCAATTTGTCACTAGAAACATAACTTCCTGTTTCTTTTCTAACATCCTTTTGAATCGAGAGATCTTGTTCAAGAACGTTGCTCCATATGGGTTGCTGAGATGGAAGTAGTACAATGGGTAGGTAGTCATAGAACATAGAACATTACAGTGCAATACAGGCCCTTTGGCCCTCGATGTTGCGCCAACCTGTGAATCCAATCTGAAGCCCATCTAACCTAAACTATTCCATTATCATAGTGGTAAGTGAAGTGCAGCATGGATGGTTTTAGCCAGCTTGTCGGTTTTCATCAGTTGGCAGATGTGTGCAGCATTGACGTTTGCAGGGAAGGGTATTCATTTTAGTTGGAGCATTTAGTGAATAATAGAATATGAGAAGGTAAACTTTTAGTTTTGAGGTTCTGCAAACTATTGAGCTTGTCATAGAATGCGATGTATGGATATTTAAATCTTCCCTTTCAATAAATCCAGGTAATTCAGTCTTGTTAATGAAAATGTTTTGTTTAGTAAAATGCTATGAAGTATAAGTTCATATTCCATTGAAATATAGAGTATTGATGCTGGACAGAGTTTGTATACTACACCAGTAACCTCTTCCTTCGGACCTTCCAACCAATCTCCTTTCGGAAAAACCTAATTTTAAATTGTTGAGATAACAAGGTGTAGAGCTGGATGAACACAGCAGGCCAAGCAGCATCAGAGAAGCAGGAAGGCTGATGTTTTGGGCCTAGACCCTTCAGAAAATTGTTGCCGTCCACCTGTAGTGCTGGAGAGTCTGTCGACTATTGTCAAAATAAAGTTGGGCATGCGTCTTTCGCTGTAAATCAAATGCAGTCCATTATTGGTAACTTAGTACAAGCTTGGTGTGCCAAGTACATGTTGAACCTAATCCACTCCTTGCCTTGATAGCAGAGCAAAAGAACAAAGAAAATTACAGCACAAGAGCAGGCCCTTCGGCCCTCCAAGCCTGCGCCGATCCAGATCCTCTATCTAAACCTGTCGCCTATTTTCCAAGGATCTGCATCCCTCTGCTCCCTGCCCATTCATGTGTCTGTCTAGATACATCTTAAATGACGCTATCGTGCTTGCCTCTACCACCTCCGCTGGCAATGCGTTCCAGGCACCCACCACCCTCTGCGTAAAGAACTTTCCATGCATATCTCCCTTAAACTTTTCCCCTCTCACCTTGAAATAGTGACCCCTAG